GCCCCGGGGGGTGTCCGCTGGCCACGGAACTTTCTGGAAGTGTTGTTCCCTGGGCAGCCCAGGAGGGCAGACCCGGCACGGTGTTCACGACGGTGGGACCGAGTTCCAGTTCTGCTGAGTGTGAATCGCCCCTCCTCCGGGGCTGGTGGCCTTGGGCTGGACGCTGTGGCGTCCAGGGGGACTGGATGGCTTCATTTCCAACAGAACCCAAGGGCCAGGGACCTCCTGGGCAGCGTCAGCCTGTGGCGCTGCGGGGAGGTGCTGGAACCTCCGTGGGGCGGGGCCTAGTGGGAAGAGCTGAAGGCATGGGGGCGTGTTTCCCAGCTCTCGTGAGGCGACTAGGCCTCCTGCCCCGCACTCCGTCACGGTGGGCTGACCCGCTGCAGGCCAAAAGCAACAGGAACACGAGACCGTGAATGAACCTCTGAAGCCATGAGCCAAAAGGGAACTTTCGTCTCTCTCAGCTGATTGTCTCAGGTGTTTTGTCACAGTGGCGGAAAGCTGGGGGACACAGGAAGAGAAGGCGCAGATGTGAACAGTGCATTAGCTGCTTCCTGGCTGTCCATGGAGGCCTCACAAATGAGCCCGAGCTTAGCGGCCTTGAACCCAGTCATTTACGGGGCCATTTATGGCTTCTGCGAGTCAAGCGGTGCCCCTGTGGCGGGTCTGTCATGGGGCTCGGTGCTGGCTGGGCTTCCCTTCCTGGTCTGGACGGGGAAGGGTCACTTAAGTCTTCACGCGGCTCTTGGAAGGACTTGCTCTCGCGGCCACGCAGCCACGGGACCGAGGTCCTCTGTTCTCCACTGGTTGTCAGCGGGAGGTTGCCCTCAGCTCCTGGCCACGTGGCCTCTCTGCAGAGCAGCTCACCACATGGCAGGTGGCTGCTCAGAAGGGACAAGAGGGGGAGGGAGAAATAGAAAATGGAAAGCGCAGGGTTTTTGTGAACAAATCTCAAATGTCACATCACTTTTGCTAAGTGGGTCACTAAGTCCCACCCACGATCAAAGGGGACAGGGGAGTCACACAAGGGTCCCAGTAGGTGGGGATCACCGAGCGTCATATTGACAGCTGCTTTCCACATTTAGAGAACATTTAAGTGACATTCCATAAAATACAGAACAGACCAGAATCAGGTACAAAAGTTGTATGAAACGGTCTTTTTCCACCAGAAGCCTACATGGTGTGTGTGTGTGGAGGGGGTGTGTGTGTGTGGAGGGGGGCATGTTTCAGAGAAAACACAAATTAGGACCCCAACATCAGACTCTGCCCAATGACACAGCCCAGCACAGCCCTCAGCTGTCAACACAGCAGCCTGTAGTTTCAGGAACTCCAAAATTAGCCTCTTAGTTCATGAGTCTGAACCCTGAGTGGACAGGGGTTTCCACACACCTGAGGACAGCCTCCATCGTAACCCACGCCAAAGCTCATGAAGGAAAGGGAGAGGCTTGGAGAGGACAGAGTGTGTGCAGGGAGCGGGCGACTGTCACACATGACCGCTAGAGACGCATGAAAAGCTGTTGTAATCATGAAACAAGAACAAGATGCTAAAGAAAAGGAGCACTCAGAACAGCAGTCTTGAAATAAAAAATTCAAGCATAAGCTAGAAGGATTGAAAGATGAAAGCAGGGAAAGTTCTCGAAAAGAAGAGTAAAATGCAAGGAAATGTAAAATGGAAGGGAATAAACAGGAAGAGAGAGAGAGACGCCCAAGAAGTCCCAGTTGTTGGAGGCTTTCCAGTCTTGGTGTCAGCATGGTGACTGCAGAAGCCTTTGAGATGGCTCTAGTCCCTGACTCTAGGATGGTTCTTGCATGAGAGCCCCAAAGTGAGAACTAGGCAGTGGGTTCCCCTCAACCCCGAAAGCCATGCCATTTCATAATTAATGTAAGTGGCCATTTTATGGCCCTAGGTTTGGGCTGGTTTTTATGAAGCGATAGGTGATTGCCAAACCTCTCATTTGTCTTTTTAGGAAGTAACTAGAGGATGTGCCCGGTCACAGTGGGAATGGAAACCAAGGAGGAGGTGAGCGTGCGGCACTACAGTCAGGGGACCCACGGGGAGGCCGCGAAGCTCTCCTGCATGATGAGGGAGAGGCCAGGGTGAAAGCAGTGCCAGAGAGGGACCTCACCCCGAGTGGCACTTGTCACGAGGATTCGGAAAAGGCTGCTTCTGGATCCCGATGTTGGTAGAGCAGCTGACTTCAGGGCTGGGGCTGGGGCTGGGGCTCAGTGGCAGAGCTCTTGCCTGGCACAGGTGAGGCCCTGGGTTCGATTCTCAGCACCACATAAAAATAAATAAATAAAAATAAAGGTTAAGTTCTTTAAAAAAAAAACAAACAGACTTCAGGATCAAATCAGTCACATGTTCTTAGGAAACTGAGAAAATTTTTCCTTTAGGACAATGGTTCACTCCAAGGGAAACTAACAATCGTGAGGGAAGGAGAAAGTGGTCCTGGTTTATTTATGGCATAGATATAAGTAGGTGTTTTTGTTGTTGTTTCCAGGGATTGAACCCAGCTGTGTCTAACCACTGAGCCTCATCCCAGCCCTTTTATTTTTTTTGAGACAGGATCTCGCTAAGTTGCTCAGGGTTTCACTAAATTGCTGAGGCTGGCCTCAAACTTGCCATCCTCCTGCCTCAGCCTCCAGAGTTGCTGGGATACAGGTGTGCGGCCTGCACTCAGCAAATAACAGTCTGGTACACGATAATACACGCACCGAATCTCCTTGGCCTTACGATAGAACAATACTGGGCAGATGTGGTGAGGGGAGGGTTCCCCCAGGGGCTGGAGGGACGCGGTGGACGTTGGTCATCAGGCCTGTGAACTGGCCCAGCGCCTGGACCCGGAGCCCCGGGGCCGCTGCTGTCCTGCCCTCCTGAAGGGCTCGCGGTGCGCGTCTTCTTTCCCCACCTGGTCACCAGCTCTCGTAGCGCTTGACCTAGAAGGTGACACGGTCATGGGATCAGCTTGAGCGCCGTTAGACGAGTAAAATAATCATGTTGGGAAAAACAACTACAAAGCCTGACCCCGGCAAATTAACCCGTGGCTAAAAGAAGTGAATTAACCCCGTGGTAGTGAGTGGACGGAGGATCCGCGGGAAGGGGCGTGGCCGTCGGAGGAGGCCGCGGGAGGAGGCGCTGCTGTGGGTGTCACAGACTCGCAGCCCCCTGCCTCACTCTGTTCCCTTGGTGGCTCCGTCTTTCAGGCACTTGGCACCTTGAAGTATTTTCTTTCTTCATTCCGTTCATTCTGTCTCCGTGCAGCTGCCTGAGCACCGTCTGCATCTGTGCTTGCAGAACCACTGGGCATGTAGCAGACGCTCAATAAAACAGAAGAAGGGAGGAACAGACCTTGCGCCACCCTCAAAACCTCTTTGTTGCTGACTGCGTAAACTTTTTATTTTGTGGAAATTTCAGACTTACTGAAAAGTTGTATAAATAGTGCAAGGAATTCTTCCTTGTCCTTTGTCCAAGTCCCTCAAATATTAACATTTTACCGCTTATGCTTATTCCTTCCTCTGTCCCTTCCTCTCTCCCCTGGAGCTACCTATTGAGGGTCCTTGACGGGTGTGATGACCACTAACCCTGCCCACCTGGGTGTGCGTCCTAAAACACAGCCTTCTCTTACGGAACCCAGCACCATGAGCAAAATTAGGAAATCAGCATCAGATGATATTGCCTCATGGGCAGACCTTATTCAGATGTCACCCATTGTCCCAAGAAGGTCCTTTGAGAGCCAGGTAACAATCGTGGCTCCCCGGGTGGATTTGATTGACACCTTTCCTCCCACCTGGGCCAGTGCTGGGTCTTCTCTGGAGTTGGTGACATTAGCAGTCTCACAGGGCAGTCCTCTGTAGCGCACCTCTCGGCTGGACCACGGCTGGGTACAGATTATCCAAGTCGCTGTGTTTGGCAGGAAGCTCCCCAAAGTGGCGCAGCTCATCTGTCCGGGTAGGTTTCCAGGGGCCTGTCATTAGCCCACGGGATTGTCACCCATCGCTTGCGGCTCGGCCACAGTGCTCCGCTGCAGAGTGACTCTTCTGGCCCTTGAAGCTAAGGATGTAGGGCGGGAGCGGCGGGTGGTGGGCGCTTGCCTGGCTCGCCCGGGGCCCTGGGTAGGTCCCCAGCGTGGGAGGGAGAAGTTCAGCCTCTGCGGCAGCTTCTTGGATACTGTGTAAATGTCATGTTCCTTCTCAAACTGTCGCCTGTGCTTCTCAGCGTCCCTGGGAGCTGCTGCGTATTGTCATGACGGCTGCCAAAGTGTTTGCATGTTTAAATTCTGACCAAAAGAAAAACCCAAGCTGTGACTTTGCTCCCGTCCTGGGATCCCGGGTTTAAACGCTCTCCTCCAGGGAAGGGAACCAGGCTCCTGGGAGAAGCGGCTGGTTCTAGGGCAGCCGGGAGGGTCCTGGAGCAAGGAAGTGAGGAGGAGGGCAGGTCGGGGACAAGAGCCAGCCCCAAGGCACCGCCAGGGTCAGACGGGAACATCCAAGCCACCACAGCAACATGGTGTCAGACGATGAGCCAGAGAGC